AGTAGGCTTCCAGCTGCCTCCTCATAAAGAAATAGTCATCCATTTCCTGCGTGTGTCAAACCCTGTGTAAGACCCCTTCACTCTAGCAGTCCCCTCACCTCAACCAATGCATTCATCATATAACAGAGTAATTTTCCTGAATGGACCATCTGCCTAAGGGGTCAATGGCAAATTCCTCAGCATGGCTCATAAGCTCCTCCATGCTTTGGTCTTGGTTCTCTACTCCAGTCTTTCCCTGCCTGCCCCTACCTTCCAGGTGAGCTGACCCACTAAATTCAGCTCACCCTCATTCATACTCATTCATTCAGAAAACATTCATGAGGCCAGGCCTAATGGCTCAGGCCTGTAATCCCAGCAGTTTGGGAGGCCAAGATGGGAGGATCCTTTGAGCCTGGGAGTCCAAGACCAGCCTGGGTAACATAGTGAGATCCTATCTTTATTAAAAAGAGAGAGAGAAAGAAAGAAACCATTTATGAGGGCCTGCTGAGTGCATTGAGCTTTTGAAAGGCACTCGAATTCCAAGATGAAGAAAATGGAACAGTTCTATGCCCAAGGAACTACCACATTACTAAATAGTAGATAATATCTTTGGGGTGTTCTCCAAGTACCATGGAAAATTAACCCAGACTTGGGGGTCCAAAAAGGCTTTCTGGAAGAGAAATGAGGGAGGGCATCCCAGGCAGGCGGAATAGACAAAAGCCTGGACAAAACTCCTGGCCTCTGCCCAACTATGATAACTTCCTCAGGTTTTGTTTTGTTTTGTTTGTTTAGAGACAGGGTCTTTCTCTGTGGCCCAGGCTGGAGTGCAGTGGCACAATCATGGCTTACTGCAGCCTCAAACTCACTATCCATAGAGCCGATCCTGAAATGTACATCAAACATCTCTGCCTGTATAAACACTTGTCCTTGAAGGAAAGAACTGCAATGTTCTTCCTTTATTTGTGTTCAACTGTTTTAAGATGGCTCCAAATGCCCAGGGGATGGAGAGCGGCAGAGGAGGGAGAAGGTCCCAGAGAGCATAGGACAGGAGGCAGTGGCCCAGGGCTAGAGGCATTGAGCTCCTCCAAACCCAAGTTGCTAGAGGAATCCCCGAATCTCCAGTTGTCTGATTCTGGGAACCTGTAGGTACTTTCAAGCTGGAAGAGGAATGAGCACTTTATCATGCCTCTAAACTTNGTTCAAGTGATTCTCCTGCCTCAGCCTCCCAAGAAGCTGGGACTATAGGTGTGCACCACCACACCTGGCTAATTTTTGTATTTTCAGTAGAGACGGGGTTTCACCGTGTTAGTCAGGCTGGTCTCGAACTCCTGACCTCAGGTGATCTGCCCACCTTGGCCTCCCAAAGTTCTGGGATTAGAGGTGTGAGCCACTGCACCCGGCCTAACTTCAGTAGGCTTCCAGCTGCCTCCTTATAAAGAAATAGTCATCCATTTCCTGCGTGTGTCAAACCCTGTGTAAGACCCCTTCACTCTAGCAGTCCCCTCACCTCAACCAATGCATTCATCATATAACAGAGTAATTTTCCTGAATGGCCCATCTGCCTAAGGGGTCAATGGCAAATTCCTTAGCATGTCTCATAAGCTCCTCCATGCTTTGGTCTTGGTTCTCTACTCCAGTCTTTCCCTGCCTGCCCCTACCCTCCAGGTGAGCTGACCCACTAGATTCAGCTCACCCTCATTCATGCTCATTCATTCAGAAACATTCATGAGGCCAGGCCTAATGGCTCAAGCCTGTAATCCCAGCAGTTTGGGAGGCCAAGATGGGAAGATCCTTTGAGCCCGGGAGTTCAAGACCAGCCTGGGTAACATAGTGAGATTCCCATCTTTAATAAAAAGAGAGAGAGAAAGAAAGAAACCATTTATGAGGACCTACTGAGTGCATTGAGCTTTTGAAACGCACTCGAATTCCAAGATGAAGAAAATGGAACAGTTCTATGCCCAAGGAACTACCACATTACTAAATAGTAGATAATAGCTTTGGGGTGTTCTCCAAGTACCATGGAAAATTAACCCAGACTTGGGGGTCCAAAAAGGCTTTCTGGAAGAGAAATGAGGAAGGGCATCTCAGGCAGGCAGAATAGACAAAAGCCTGGACAAAACTCCTGTCCTCTGCCCAACTGTGATAACTTCCTCAGGTTTTGTTTTGTTTTGTTTGTTTAGAGACAGGGTCTTTGTCTGTGGCCCAGGCTGGAGTACAGTGGTGCAATCATGGCTTATTGCAGCCTCAAACTCACTATCCATAGAGCCGATCCTGAAATGTACATCAAACATCTCTGCCTATATACGCACTTGTCCTTGAAGGAAAGAACTGCAATGTTCTTCCTTTATTTGTGTTCAACTGCTTTAAGATGGCTCCAAATGCCCAGGGGATGGAGAGGGTCAGAGGAGGGAGAAGGCCCCAGAGAGCATAGCAGAGGAGGCAGTGGCCCAGGGCTAGAGGCATTGAGCTCCTCCAAAACCAAGTTGCTAGAGGAATCCCCAAATCTCCCATTGTCTGATTCTGGGAACCTGTTGGTACTTTCAAGCTGGAAGGGGAATGAGCACTTTATGATGCCTCTAAACTTGTTTGCTCCCTGGGGACAGTTCTGTGATGATCAGGCTTTGAATATTTGCATGTGAATGAGACAGTAGTTACATAAACCCCTAGGTGGGCTGATTTGGGGAGCAGAATTGGAAGAGGACTGAACTTCAATTCCTCTGGAAATATGCAGAGCAATTTAATAGACTGCAGAGTCTATTCTGGGCTGGGTGGGGTCTGAATGCTTGAATTCTCTTTTATCCTCGTTTAGGCTGAGAGAAGCTAGGGGCAGATGGAGCTTCTGGAAGGCCTTTGCACCATGGCCTTCGCCTTATTTAGGTCCTGCACACTGCACTTTACCCCATAACCCCGTGCTGGAGCCCCTGCCTCCAGTTCACATCAGATGTCGAATTTTCCAAGGTGCTGAGTTTTCGTGGTTGTCCCTGGTCTGTGACTATATCACAATGCCAAGTCTCTCTTTTTTATTTTTATTGAGACAGGGTTTCCCTCTGTCACCCAGACTGAAGTGCAGTGACACAACTGTGGCTCACTGTAGCCTCAACTTCCCAGACTCCAGTAATCCTCCCACCTAAGCCTTCCGCCACAGCCTCCTGAGTAGCTGGGAATACAGGCAGGCACTAATGCTTGTAGCATGTACATAGTAATGTAGCATGCCTGGCTAATTTTGTTTTTTTTGTTTGAGATGGCATTTTGCTCTTGTCACCGAGGCTGGAGTGCAATGGTGCAGTCTTGGCTTACTGCAAGCCCTGCTTCCCCAGTTCAAGCAATTCTCCTGTCTCAGCCTCCTGAGTAGCTGGGATTACAGGCACACTCCACTACGCCTGGCTAATTTTTGTATTTTTAGTAGATATGGGGTTTCACCATATTGGCCAGGTTGGTCTNACATCTCTGCCTGTATAAGCACTTATCCTTGAAGGAAAGAATTGCAATGTTCTTCCTTTGTGTTCAACTGCTTTAAGATGGCTCCAAACGCCCAGGGGATGGAGAGGGGCAGAGGAGGGAG